GGACCTCCCGCAACCAGAAGTCACATTTGGAGAATTTTGCATATAGCTTCTCCGACCTCAGTACTTCAAGGACCTCCCTCAAATGTCTCTCATGCTGCTCTCTAGTTCGCGAATATACTAGGATGTCGTCGATAAATACAATCACAGACCGATCCAGCATCGGCCTGCATACCCTGTTCATGAGGTCCATGAACACTGCCGGGGCATTGGTGAGCCCGAAAGGCATCACCACGAACTCGTAATGCCCATACCGCGTCCTGAATGCTGTCTTCTGGACGTCCTCATCCCGCACTCTTACCTGATGGTACCCTGATCTCAGATCGATCTTGGAAAACCAAGATGCCCCTTGCAACTGATCGAATAGATCATCGATCCTCGGTAACGGATAGCGGTTCTTGACCGTCACCTTGTTCAACTCCCGGTAATCAATACACATCCGGTGTGAACCATCCTTCTTCTTGACGAATAGAATCGGTGCTCCCCACGGCGAGCTACTCGGCCGAATAAATCCCTTCCCCAGCAACTCCTGGAGTTGCGAGGACAACTCTTGCATCTCTGGAGGTGCAAGACGATAAGGCACCTTCGCAATAGGCGCAGCCCCCGGAACCAGATCGATACCAAACTCTACTTGCCTCGCAGGAGGTACTCCCGGCAAATCCTCGGGAAAAACATCTGGAAACTCGCGCACCACTGGAACCTCCTCCACTGTCCTCGGTCTCTCGGAAGTCTCCCGCGTATCCATCACATACGCCACAAAACCTTTACATCCCTGCTGTAGACATTGCCTCGCCCTAGCAGCCGAACAAAAAGCTGATCCCGAACGGGTACCCTCGCCGTACACCGTAAGAACTCCCCCACTAGGGTCTCGTATAGTCACCAGCTGGCGCTCACAGTCGATGACGGCGCTGAATCGGCTCAACCAGTCCATGCCCACGATGACACAGACATCACCCATCGCAATAGGAATTAGGTCAATCGGGAACGCAACCCCAAAAATCTCTAGCACGCATCCCCGAAGAACCTCCGTAGCACAAACCACCCTCTCGGCCGCTATAGAAACGCTCAGAGGCCGACTTAACGGCTCACGACTAATGCTGATATGCTGACTAAAAGCTAAAGATACAAAGGATCTACTCGCACCCGAATCAAATAACACAAGAGCAGGCATAGAGTTCACAATAAAAGTACCTACACATATATTAACATAAGCATAACATTTCAACTTTAAATAAATACGCGAATTACAGTATACCTGCCACAACATCGGGTGCAGCGCGGACCTCCTCCGCAGTCAGCTGAAAGGCTCTCCCGCGAGCCCTCGGGGCCTCGACCTTCGCCGGTCGTGTCTCGGTAGTCCTGGTAGTAGGTGTAGATCCCTGTCGAAGCTGCGGGCACTCGGCCTTCCGATGGCCTGTCTGGTTGCAATGAAAGCAAACCATAAACCCCTTAGGACAATCCCTGGCAATGTGTCCTTCCTTGCCACACTTGTAGCAACCACCCGCTCTACACGCCCCCTCATGACTCTTGCCGCACTTTCCGCAAGTGCGGCCCTTCGAACCTCCCGTCCTCGAATCAGCGGACTTGAACCGCTTGGCTGCCGGCTGAGACTGAGCCGGTCGCCGGTCCACCTGCCGAGACTCGGCCTCCTCCCTGGCCTGGGTCTCCAACTCGATCTCGCGCTTCCTGGCATTCGCCTGAAGCTCAGTGAAAGTACGATAGGTGGAGTTTGACACAAACTCCCGGATATCCCTCCTCAACACGCCCAAGTACCGGCTCATCCGTGACTGCTCTGTAGACACCAACTCGGGGCAGAACATCGCCCTCTCATGAAACTTCCGTGTAACCACCGCAACGGAATCAGTACCCTGCTTAAGGGTCAAGAACTCCTGGATCAATCGTTCCCTCTCCACTGGGGGAACGTACTCGTCCCTGAACATCTCAGTAAACCTCTCCCATGTCACCGCTGAAATCTCCGCCTGAGTGAAGTTCGCCGTCACGAACTTCCACCAATCCTTCGCTCCCAGACGGAGCTGGTTCAAGGCGAACCGTACCCTCAGGTGCTCCGGGCATGAACAAGTGTAGAAGCACCCCTCAATATCGGCGATCCACCTCATCGCAGCAATCGGATCCTGCGTCCCATCGAACTCAGGGGGTTTCGTGTTGCTGAATTCCCGGAATAGCAACGAATCACCCCCTTGCGGCCTAGCAGCGGCCACAGCTGCGGTAGCGGCAGCGACTGCAGCTTCAGTCAGTGCGGCGTACCGCTCCTCAAACTCCTCCATCAGGGTGGTCTTAATGGACCCAAACATCTCCGGGATCTCAGCCCGAACCGCCGCAGCTACCTCCTCCTGAATCATCTGACGAATCTCCTCGTCACTCATACTGCTCGAACTCGCTCCGTGGCGTGTCGTAACCATGATGTCTCTGAAATACAACATAAAATTATCAGAGACTCCATCAAGTACAATTGTACTCGATAACGCAACCCTACTCAGTCTCCGATATCCAGGGATTCTTACTTGGGTCTTCCACCGACCCGGTGTCTTCGGTAGTACGGGCCCAATACCACCGACCACACCGTGTCAGTATTCGTCCCAAATCTTCCTCCCCAAACCCCGAATAGTGAGTACTCTACTTCTCGTATGCACTATCTACCTGCACGCTACCGAATATCTCATACAAGCAACCTCCCTAGACTAAGGCATCACAAAACAGGCCATTCTAGTCCTATCATGTATACCTAGTCTTCTAGCATGCATAACAATTCATAATTCAGTGCATAACATAACATTGTAAGGTATTCTGGGGATCTTTACCGTTCGGGCGCTGGCTGATCGTACACACTGCGTCTTTCTTGTTTACCACTTTACCATTTATAAAAGTTTATGTATTTATTATTTTTAAAAGATTTTTCCTCAAATCCTCGGTTTGAGTTCAGTTACACCCGAAGGTACACCCGAATCCCTCAAACCAAGGCTCTGATACCAATTGTAACAACGCAAATTTTCAAATAAATTTTTCATTTTAAATAAAGTGAGTTCGTTCAACCAATAATATTTATTTCATGTTTCAAAACAAATACATATGTAAATCCCCAAGATCTCAAATATCAGCAGTGTGTATGCATCATGCCGGCGCCTTCCCACGGTCCTCGCTAGTACCTGAAACACATACATAACAACTTGTAAGCATAAATGCTTAGTGAGTTCCCCAGTATACCACTTACACATATACGCCTTTCCAGGCCCGGACCTTCCGGTCCACAGTACAATGCCTTCCGGCCCATATGATAATCGCCTTCCGGCCCATAATATAATTGCCTTCCGGCCCATAACATGATTGCCTTCCGGCCCATAAACATATATAACACATAATACATTTACTCTAACACATATATCACATATATCATATATCATACCTGACCTTCCTGTCGCATAATACATTGCCTTCCGGCCCATAGAAACATACATAGCAACTATTCCTTTCAATTATAGCATATATATAACACGTAACATATCCGACCTTCCGGTCACACAGTCAAACCCTTCCGGGTACAGTATAGTGAGAAGACTCACCTCGTGGTAATGTAAGCTATCAACTCTTGAAACTACTCGCGCTCGATCCGCCGATCTGCAGACTCCCTATAATACCATATACCCTTATTAATACTCTTATCATTCAAGACAACTGACCCTAAGAATTACATGCAGGTCAACTCTGGTCAACGGTCAACTTGACCGGACTCGTCGAGTGCAAAGGCGACTCGGCGAGTCTAGACGTCCTCCCCAACTTTCCCTGTTGTTCCCTTTTACTCGTCGAGCATCCCTCTTGACTCGACGAGGTCCTCGTGGAAGAATCGCGGGGCCACCCCGACTCCACTCGCCGAGTCCGAGACAACTCGACGAGTTCCAATGAATCCTCAACTACTCGCCGAGTCTGAAGAACAACTCGGCGAGTCCCAGTAAATCTTCAAGCTACTCGCCGAGTCTGATCTTGACTCGGCGAGTCCATGCCATGCAGTCGATCATCTGCCTCCTGAAATACGCATGGTCCCGAGACATGCACCCATGGGACTTTCTGGACCTCTAAGCATCCTATTACTGGGGTATAAACGATTGGGTAACAACATAATAATCTATCTAATCCTCAAATGGGTCTCATAAACCCTAGATTCGTGTACAACACCAAAACAACAGAAATAACCGAGTGTTACCTGGAAAACGTGTTCTCTGTGTCCCCAACCTTCAGAGCTCAATCCTCTTGATCCTCCTTTGACCACCACCTTGCCTCTTCTTGCCTAACAACTTCTTCAAGTTTCCACTAGCCTTCACTCCTGCTCCAGATGCCCACAGACGTTTAGGTTATCCTCAATCGGCCAAAAGACGAGAAATGACGGCCCTAAAGACGTTATATACGATCCAGAATCAAACGGCTAGGGTTTCTGCTGAACAGCGTCGACTCGCCGAGTCCCTAATGGACTCGTCGAGTCCAGTCGCGAATCTGCGACCAAGTCCGTGGTCCTACTCGGCGAGTCAGGCACCAACTCGCCGAGTCCCCTCCTAAAAATGCCCCAAAAAAATAGTTTTTAAGCAATACCTGAAATTCCGGGCTGTTACACTTTTCCCAAGACAGTTGCTCCAAGAGGCAGCGAAGTCAAGAAAATCATTCATGTTGGAAAATCGTCTGCTGGGAATTGCGCACCAATTGAGGATCCTCTGGTCTCTCTTGCAACTTTGCAGTGTAACAGTAAATGATCCACCAATTCTCCTTCAATCTCATACAAAGGGCATAGTTTGGACTGGACATTCATACCCCTACTTACCAGGTTTGATGCAACTTGTAACCTCCCTAATGCAGCTAACCACACGAAACACTTGATGTTAAGTGGTAGTATTACTTTCGACCATTCAATAACCAATCCGCTGTGAGAGTCTGATGTGGAATCTAGTTGCTTTCTCGGTGTATTAACTCTGTACACGCCATCATAATTAAGGTTAAAACAAAATCCTAAGAACACAGGTGTAAGTCGGATGTGATTAATTATCGAGCATAATTCCATGAATTCATTTAACACTGCAGAGCCATGAAGTGATGTCTTCCATCGCCATGTAAAGCTTGAATCAGAGATTCGTTGAGTAACATAGCATCTCTTCACCGATTCTAGTTCATACAATAAAGGAAACTTATATTTGGAGATTTCTGTACGATTAGGTGCTTTGGATAACGAAAAGTAGATTTATGAGAGGAGAGAAACATCGTTATGTTTTCAAGAACGCACGACCAGCGCCCATTCCATCCTCTGAAACTTCTAATCGACGCCTCATTACCATCGACACGATCTTCTCCAAGTACTCCATCCATCTGACGCCTCCATCGTCGATCAGCAATCGAGCTCGAGGTTCTCTATCGTCAATCTTCATGCTCTAACCATATCAATTATCGATCTTCAAATTTATTGATTTGATTGTTGGCGTTATTGTCCTTAATTTCACCGATACGAGTCTTTTACAACTTTCTTGTATGTACTGTTTAGATTTCCTCTTCAATTTCTATAAGTTATTTGCAATTTTTTAGTCTGGATTCCTTGTTATTAGTTGCGGAAGGACATAAAAATCATGTTCGAAACCATACACTGGTATCATCCTTGCACACCAACTGTTTGATCATATGTTCATTAGATTTTTTGGTCCTCATTCCTCGTTAAACATGGGCTTTGAAATTATCAAATGCAGACTTATGCGTAAATGTTTAAAGAACTGTTAGTTTATTATGTATCATCAGACGAAGAACAAGTGGCAGAAGGAGGAAGAAGGGTCGTTGGAGTTTCCAAACCTGGGATTTTATCAATTCAATATCTAGAAATTAAACGAGGGTATAATTGTCATTATACATTTTCTTTTTTCTTTTTTCTTTTTCTGTGGATAGATAAACACCTTCGGTGGATAAATCAAATCAGTTCCCTTTTCATAAACGAGCTTAAATGGAAGCGGGAAATCTCCTCCGAGCAGTCTCCTTAAATTCTCATAAACCTTCCGGTCTCCTTCTCCGATCTAATCGACAGTTCTCCAGGGTTTCGGCCAACTTACAGGTGCATTTGTCTTCCCTCTCTATATGTATGTATCTGTGTTTCAATTTAAAGCTTTCATTGAACAATTGAAGGGAGGTTATAAAGGACCAAGGCCAAAAAGAGAATTGATTGCTGATTGGGTATCAAAAAACGACGATATTGTCAGGAGTATTCCGATCTACGTCGGAGGAACCTCTCTATTCGGCGTTCTGTTCAACAGGACAATTTCCGGCATAGCTCCGGTTGCTGATGCCAGCAGGTAATCAATCGCATTCTCACTTCTTCTACTAATTAATGATTTTCGTAATTAACTTCTTTCATCTCCTTTTTTTTTCTTCTCTTAATTTGATTGATTAAATACGATTCATCAATACATTAGCAACTGATTTCGAATTGAATCCAAGACCTTTCCCTGGAGACATCGTAAAATGCGTATTCTAAAAGCTTTTTTCAATCATCATGCAGTTCACAATCCAGAGCCGATCTACTCGCAATTGGGTTAGCAGTAACTAATATTTTAGCAGGTCTAGTGTGGCTTTCAATTCGACCTAAATCCATATCTGTGGTAAGAAAACCCAAAAACCCCCTTTCATATCAGCTTCTAACTTGGTTTTTATCACCACTTTAATACATGAATTTCAAATTTTGAATTCAGGTGCCACCTAGAGGTGTGGAGTGTGAAAGAATACATTCCAGCATTCCAGATCTTGTATCTTCTGAATTAAAATGGTATGGAAAAACATCATTTTTCAATTTTTTTAATGACGATAAGTTAGTGTTTGTGAATTGTGATGTTAGGGCATGGGAATCATTGTCAGGAGTGACATGCAGCAAGTCTCTAGTGATTGTATATGATGGGATTTGTGTTGCACAAATTGGATATGCTTCTAATGAAAATGAAGGTGAAGCCATGGTTGTAGATGCTCATAAGTTGATGCAAGGATCAATCTATCAAGGAATTATGAAATCTGGATCACGTAAGCCACATGTGAATGTGATAACGATGATATTTTTGAAATAAATTATATTATAATATTTGAAGAATTTTACAGAAAGCTACTTGGCAAATTTATCTCTGTATCCTGGAAAATCTGAGCTCCCATTTCTCCCTTCAAACACACAGGTAACAAACCATTCAAATCGTCTTCAAGTTTACCAGGTCATTTGTATATTTACACTTTTGGCCCAAGTTTTAAACTTCGTTACATATTTGCACAAACTTATTACAGGCAGTGATCTTGCAACCACTTGGAGATAAAGGAATTGCAATAATTGGAGGTGACACTATTCGAGGCTTCACAACATCAGACCAGGAAAGCATTCATCTTTTTATTATTTTTTACTTTTCTTTAATTCAATTCCAAATATAATCTCAGTTAGTTTTCCATAAATAGGAAAATATGCATTTTTTTTTTTTGCATAAGTTAAAAGTGATGTAATAATAATATTAGTAAAGTATATACACCTGCTGCAGGCATGGATCAGTTTAATAGGAGAGAAGGTGGATGCCACGCTTTCTACGCATATCAACACCAAAAAACCTTTGGCTACTTCCAAACCAAGATAAACGTTTTGTTTTTTGTTATTCATTATTAATTTAACTATGTTTGTATATCACAATGATAATTTAATATATATGTATATCACAATAATAATTCCTTGGGATTGTTTGGTGTTCGTATTAATCATTCAATATTTCTATTTTGTATTCTATTTCATTTGAATCTAGTTACATCTTTCTTATTACGATTGTTATTGTTCTTGTGATTTCACTGTCCTCAAAATCTATTTCTCAGCGGTTTTCACTGTAATAATGAATTTTGCACAGGGACAATAATATAAAAGTCACTGTAGTTTGGCAAATATCGGAGTTAATCACCGCATTATTTTTGTTCTAAAAAAATTACTCATAGTTTAATATAAAAAAACAGCTCATAAAACAATAGGACTAAAAGTCTGAAAATAGAAAATAAAATAAATCACTACACTTATGAAAGCAATCAACCATTGATAAAAATGCACCTATGCGAGCGATTACCCTCTAAAACCTCTTTTAAACAATGAAAAATAATAGAACTTTGAGATATTGGCACCAAATTTCTGCAAAAAATGTTATTACCTTTAAAAAGTAATTTAAATAATTTAAAAATATAAAACTAAAAGAGGGTGTTTAGACTTTCGATCAACCCACTTCATTACCTCAATTTTTCAATGCAATGTCACTAAATGACCCAAGTATGGAAGAATCGGTCAATTTATCATTCAACTAGACTAATATTCATGCGTCGAATAAAACCTAACAAATATTTTGCTGTCATGAATTATGAAATAATAATTTTACTATTAAATAGATATAAAATATTTTAAATATACGATAATATAAAAATATATTAAAACTACATCCTAATCGTCTGTATATCTAGGTTATGTATAAAGTAGTTAAACTAATTTTTTATTTGTTATTATTTTTTAACTATTATTAAAATTAATTAGTTGGGATATATATTTTATACTCTTATTTAATGGAAACGATATAATGTTTTTTTATTTAATGCAGAATGATAACATATTCTACTATAATGTTTTTTTTTTTTTATTTTCCTATCTTACAATGTTTTTTACGTTTCCTATCTTGACAAATAAAAATATTGAAATCAAATTCTCACATAATAAAGCATTTCCACAAACACCTTTTGTGCAACATATATAAATAATAAATAATCAAAAGATCAAAGTATAAAGAAAACATATATCCTCATTGTTCTTCGTTGAGCAACAATCTGATGCGAATTTAAGAAAATTTATGCAGATCAAGAGAAAAAAGGGGTATGGAAATGCTAACCGTGATCTCGATCGGAACATGAGGGTCAATGCGATGGATGTAATACATATTAATGTAATCATTATCAAGGCGTTTCAAACTATCCTCACAACAAGCCCTAATATACATCATATCTCCAAAGATTTCACATTCTCCAACCAACGATTTGATCCCAAATTTCGTTTCCAATTGAACACTTCCTCTTTCTAATCCCTTCAACGCCTGAATCAAAAACTAAATCAAAGTTGTGATGGTAGAATAATGGTGATAATTTTCGGTTTTATTTTAATGGTTCAGATGCTTGTGGGGAAATATTATAGCGTTGCAAGTTGTGGCGGTGAAGGAGGGTGCGGCACCGATAAATGAAGATGGGGATCGTCGACAATATGGAGATGATGGCCAATCATTCTTCCTCCTTTTATTTTGGTGATTTAAAAATCGAATACCCCATTGATCTCAATTACCATTATTTTAGAGTCATGATTTTCTAATTTACCCTTATTAATTTATTTAATGATTAAATTATTGCTAAATTCTCATTGATCCATACATACATACAATATTTGTAGAAAACATTTGAACCTACATCTCTCTCTCATTCACTGACTCACTCACTCATTCTCTTTATCTCTCTCTCTCTCTCTCTCTCTCTCTATATATATATATATATATATATATATATATATATATATATATATATATTACATGAATCGTGCCTGGTCCAAATGCCAATTTGCACATTTAGTCTTTATTTTTAAAAATTAACTCAGTTCGTCCCTCATTCATTTGTTTCCTGCCCGCCCAGGGAGAGTCCTATCGAAATTAACCATTTGTTTTCTCCGTTTGGGTGCCCCACGTGCCTAGCATGTAGGGATATTTTCATCATTACCCCTCCCCTTATTTCACTCACCTTCATTGGTATTCTTCTTCCCCATTTTCTTCTTCGATTAGCTTTATCCACCCAAAATGTCCATTAGGTGCAACTATGGAGCTGAAGTTGTGATTCGTACTTCATGGAGTAAGAACAACCTTGGAAACCATTACTATGCTTGTTCTATCTTGGTTAATACACTTCAGGAAGGATGTAATATGCTTTTTCAACAGATCAGACAGAGTTTGCATATAGCTCAGAGTCGGCAAAATAGTTATGTCAACAGACGTCGATCTAAGTTAGAGTTCCAGGTCGGGGATATGATTTTACTTAAGGTATCTCTTTGGAAGGATGTAAAACGCTTCAGGAAAAAGGGGCAAGTTGGGACCCCAGTATATTGGGTTGTTTCATTGGGCCGTTCGAGATTCTTACTAGGATCGGTCCCGTAGCGTATAGACTTCGTTTACCCCAAGAGCTTAGTAACATCCATCCCGTCTTCCACGTGTCGAACCTTAAAAAGTGTCTATCCGAATAAACTCTTGTGATCCCTCTTGATGAGATCGAGATCAACGAGAACCTAAATTTCATGGAAGAACCAGTCGAAATCATGGATCGGGAAGTCATACGAACAAAGCAAAGTCACATACTGATAGTGAAGGTCCGTTGGAATGCCAAGCGGGGACCTGAATTCACTTGGGAGTGCAAAGATCAAATGAAATAGAAGTACCATAATCTTTTTTCGAGTCCATGATTTTTATTCTATGTCAAAATTTCGGGACTAAAATCCCTCTATCGGGGGGATGATATGACAACCTGAATCTATTTCCGTTAATGTTAGCCGATTTCGTTAAATAAATTTTGAAATTTTTATTTAGTTTCGTCAAATTCTTATGATTTGGAAAACCATTTAAGTTATATGATTGAATTATATATATATATATATATATATATATATATATATATATATATATATATATATATATATGAGTCGGAACCAAAATCGTGCGAAAAAACCGAGTTACTCTGAAAAATCAGCGAATCCAACCTGACTGGTGTTCACGGCTTTGAATCCGATCACGTTCATAAACCCGATCACGACCGTGAACCCATTCACGGTTGGACCCTACCACCGACCATACCCCTAGCCTATATATACATGACTCCTACCCTCATTTATCCTTTTTCTAACAGCAAACACCCTTCTTTCTCTAAAAACCCTCACATGAAAAAACCAAGAATTCTCATGTTTCCTTTTCATCTATCACTTTAACCGCCTTAGAACACATTTTGGAGCATCAAACACCCGCTTTTTCGCCAATTCAAACATCGTGCTCTTGAGTTCACAATCGTGAACCCTTCAAATCTTCATAATTCACCAAGAACGGGTCGTGAACCCTTCAAACCTTCAAAGACCGTAAACCCTTCAAAGATAGTAAGTTGTTCACGGCCGAGAACACTTCACGGCCATAATCCCATCACGACCGTAATCAGCCCTACACCGTGAATCTTGTTTGAAAACCCGCTTTTTCCGATTCAATAGAGTCTCGGTAACATTCCTTAACCGAAAGTAAGTGTTTTTCAAACACATTATCTAATGAAATCGCTAATTTTAGATACAAATATATGTTTAATTATTGACATGATTTCGTTAACTTCACATACAACTCGAGGGTCCATAATTCCAGTTTCGTTGTCCGACACTTTCACGCAACCAACAGTGAGTTCATACCCCTACTCTTTTACTCTTTTTAACGTTTTCAAGGGAGGAATACAAGCCAAACACAACTGATTTTTGTGAATTTTAATGCAAAAGAATTTCACAGGATTAAAACTTATGCAATTGATCCAGCTAAAAAATAAATTGTTTTTATAAAATATTTGAGATATTTTATCCCTTTGGTAACATGCTGAGCATAAGGGACATTTTCAAATTATAGTCATAATTGCATAGTTTTCAGATCAATATATGGAACAAGTACATAACCTTTCATGCAAACTATAATAGGTATAGTTTGGGATTTCAATATATTGTTTTACAGATTCAGAACTTATACATTATCAAACATATAAACTATGATGGATTTAGTTTATGATATTCATTATCACTTTCGGATTTCACGAGTACTGCACTAAATAATTATTTAAGTATAATTATTTTTACTCTTCAATGTATATAAACAAATTCAAATATAAGAGAACAATACAAAACCGCACGTAAACTAGTTAATACAGGATTGTGAGATAACTCTTCATTTGTACCCTTCGGGGTACGAGCTAAATCCTATCCTTAGTGTAACCAGAGTCTCTTGGAGGGAGAGCGTGAGATTTGTGAATAAATCTATTCAGGACTGACAATCCCACACCTAAACTGCTAGCTACAGTTAGGCAGACATGCCTGGGGTGACAAATAACATATCATCCAACGCCTGAAGAACATCGTAGAGGTCACCAGTCATATCAAGCATGGTTATATGACTCACAATAGTATAAACTAACATTTGTTTACGGTATTTCATTCTTCATTAGTTTTATTTTAATTAATAAAACTACTATACTTTACATTGGAGGATTCTAGGGATACAACACATGGTTTTATTTGATAAAACTACTATACATACTGGTGGTAACCAGGGTTTTCAAATAGAACATAGTAATATATGTTAGAAAATATTGGATTTTTTGGGAAAGCATACAACTATTTTACAGATTCCATGAGAGGTTTTCATAGTAAAAGCATTTTATGAACTCACTAGCATTACGCTGACACTCTTTCAAAATCGTTTGTATTCTCACGGAATAGGTAGACAGGTACTCCAGCAGACTTTTGAGAAGACGGAGCGTTTAAGTCTCGTCTTTTATATATTTTTGATAGACTTTCGATGTACTCAAACTATGAACACAGATGTAAATATTCATATCTTAATGTAATGGTTGTGTTTACTTTGATTACTATGATGCAATTGTGGTGATAATGTACATGACGTCCTCCACCCTCGAACGTTTCCGCCGTTTCCGTTTGGGGGAGTGACAGATAGGTATCAGAGCTATTGTTTATGGTGAATTAAATATACCGAACCTTACACGGTATACAACTATAAACACTAAGGGGCCGGAGTGCTCTGAACAAAAAATATACTTTTAAAATATAAGTATTTTATAAAAAGTATAATAGTATATATACATACCAGTCAAGTTGAGATATATCTTGTTTCATATCTCTTTATTCTAGGGGACTTACCATCCTATTCTTCTTGATTCTTTCAGAATAAGATGCCTCTGAGAAAGATACCCAACAGGAAGAACAACAATCCCTCGACGGATCAGACGCCCCCGCCACCTCCTCAGTACGACCCATCTGTCTTCCAAGAAGCTGTGATAACCGTTGTGGCTGTTGCAATGTCCTAAATCAACGTCAGCAAGACAAGCGGGGCGGGTAGTGGTACCCTAACATCCAACCTCGGTGACAGTCATGGTAACACCTGGGAATGTATATACAAAGACTTTTCCAATACCAAGCCGCAGTCTTTCGATGGCACTAGAGGTGTTATTTCCCTGACTCGATGGTTTGAGAAGATCGAGTCAATCTTTGAGATATGTTCATGTCCGGAATCCAACAAGGTGAAGTTTGCAGCGTGCACCTTCACCGATAGAGCACTAACTTGGTGGAATGGCCAAGTCAAATCCCTAACTCTTCTAGTGGCTAATGTCATGAGTTGGGAGGATCTGAAGGAATTAATGATCGCTGAGTACTACCCGTGAGGCGAGATGCAGAAGCTGGAGGAGGAGCTTTGGAATTTGAAGATGAAAGGCTCAGACATTGCTACTTACACCGAGAGATTCGGTGATCTTTATCTTTTCTTCCCGGGAATGGTCACCCCGGAGAGCAAGAAAGTAGAAAGGTACATATGGGGGTTAACACCCCCAATTCAAGGGAATGTATTGGCTACAAATTTGCTGATGTTTGACAGTTCCAAATGGTTGGCGCAGACTCTGATTGATCATTGGGGTCGTCAAGATCCCATTCTAGCCGCCCACGAACCACCCAAGGAGAGCGGTGGAAAGAAAAAGTTTTGGAATAAGCGCAAGAGCCATATTCTGATTGAAATTTTTATTTAGTTCCCATTCCAGTCTCTGATTCAAATTTTTATTTAGTTCCCTCAAATTCTTATGATTTGGAAAATCATTTAAGTTATATGATTGAATTTTATATATATGAGTCAGAACCAAAATCGCGCGAAAAACTCGAGTTACTCCGAAAAATCTGCGAATCCGACCTGACCGGTGTTCACGGCCGTGAACCCAATCACGACCATAAACCCAAACACGGTCGTAAACCCATTCACAGCTGGACCCCACCACCGACCATACCCCCAACCTATATATACATGACTCCTACCCTCACTTTTCCTTTTCTGGCAGCAAACACCCTTCTCTCTCTAAAAACCCTCACCCGAAAACCCAAGAATTCTCAAGTTTCCTTTTCATCTATCACTCTAACTACCTTAGAACACGTTTTGGAGCATAAAACACCCGCTTTTTTGCTGATTCAAACATCGTGT